TAGACTTTTTAATACTCATCTGGACATTAGTAATCCTTGGAAAGTAGATATTTGTATGCTTACAGTCCTCTATCTTGATGCTTAAAGGAAATTCTTCAGAGCTGAAATCCTGTGTATATTTTTCTTTCCACACTGAATTACTGAACTCTTTATTCTGAATTGCCAGCACTTGAATTGTAGCTGTGTTGGTGTGGGGAAAGCGCAAATAGTTGTTTTTGACAGTAAAACTTAGCGCAGTGGCTTCATTAGAGCGCTAAAATATTAATTCATAACATTTGTAAAACAGTGTTGGTGTCCTGTCTCTAACTACATTTGTGTTTTTGTGTAATTCCAGGTGTATGAGAAGTCCCCTCTGCGGGTAAAAAATTTTGGTATTTGGTTGCGCTATGATTCTCGTAGTGGAACCCACAACATGTACAGGGAGTACAGGGATTTGACCACGGCTGGTGCTGTCACTCAGTGCTGTAAGTACATGTAACTCTTTGAAGTATAAAAGCATAGGACTAGTATATAAGCACAAGATTAAATTTTAAAGCAGGCATAAAGTCTGCTGACTTGACACATGGTAACTGAAACACTGGAAAAATGAAGTGGGGAATTCCTGAAGAAGTCCATGGATGTATGTGTATGATGTATGTAGTATCTTATTCGTTACCACTCTTCATACAGTTTCTCTAGATGAAAATATTCCCACTTCATCTTAGTGTTAGTTTGTACAATTCTAGTTATGAGTTTTGCTATACAGACTGAGAGTTTCATGACCTTTTAGGTGCTGTATATCTTGCACTTTGTTGTTTTAATGTATATCATCCCAAGTCTTGTGGAGAGAATGTCAGATACATGTGGAATGTCATAGCTTCTGTCCTTTGGAGAGCAGATGAAAAGAAAAAAATCACAGGGGGAAAAAAAATAATCTGTGTTGCTCTAAGATCCCAGTGCCTTGGCTCAGGGTGAATTAAAGGTTGTTCCGATTTCAGTCTGTTATGTGAAGTACTCGAGGGAGAGACAACTTGTATAGCTGATACTGTTGATATTTCAATCCAGAACTGTTCTAAACAGTACAGAATGCACATAAAAACCCAAAGAATATTGTTCTTAATAATGATATTCTTGTCATGTGTGCAGATATTAAATGTATCTTGTCGCCTTTCAAAAGCTGAAGTGCTGTTGGAAGTGAAATTTAAGGTTCTACATTAATTTACAATAATTCCTGTTAATTAATGTACTGAAGGACTGCTTAAGAGACCTGAGAACTTAATTTGTCATGATACAATGACTTTGATACCTTTATGTTCAAGAATACTTTTGCCAGGTAAGTTTCTAATAGGTATGTTAGATCGTCATGGGAAGCATTGTAAGCACAATAGTATTTCAACAGGCATAGCTCATGGAACTGCCTATAGGCATCATGATTTGAAGGCAGTGATTTTCACTACCACAGGGAGGAATTTTCAGGTAGTCCATGTACAGATGGCTTCTTCCTGTTCTGAAAGCTTAATTATGTGGGCTAAATATCAGTTTGTGTTTCTATGACTCACCAATTTTAAGAAAAGTAAAGATAACCTCAGATCCTATCTTTACTTGCACCTTCCTTTTGGGAGATTTTTTTGAAGGTCACACGTATTTCCTGTAATTGTATTTCAGTGTTGATTCAGAATCACAGCTGTCTTGTGCAAAAAATGAAATGGTTCCATGTAGATTACTTCTGTACGTGCGTACCTTCTTGAAATCAGGCAAGGAGAATAAGATGACACTTTCTTGGAGGAGTATGGTTAGGTTATGAGTTCCAGGAAGAATTTGCTGCTGCCGGTTGGTTCTGTGGTATTTCTGACATCGCTTTAGGTACTAAAACTGGTGTGATTAAGTAGAGTTGATCAGAAATTTTAGAAGCTGTAGATGGTACTATTAACATTTTCTGAGAAGATGGTAGTAAAATTTTTGAACTGAGGTTGTCTTAAGATTTTTTTTTTTTAATGAGTTCTCTTGTTACAGACCGTGATATGGGAGCCCGTCATCGTGCCCGTGCTCACTCTATTCAGATCATGAAAGTTGAGGAAATTGCTGCTAGCAAGTGCCGTAGACCAGCAGTCAAGCAGTTCCATGTAAGTGAAGTAACACTGCAGTGGCCAGTGGGTCCCAGTCTAACACTGGAGCAGAAGCAGGGAGCTCTCTTGTCTGTGACAGGTTTGCTTTGCACACAAAAACAGGGAGGGAACCAAACTTGCATGCGTAGGTTTACAATTATGTTATATTATGATCAAGACTTCTAATGCTAGAACTGTTTGAAAGAAATTGAAACAAATCCATATGATGTTGCAGCAAACTTGTCTTTAGTGGGCATTTCTTTCAAAAAGAGATGCAAAACTAAGGCATCTGTTAACTCCTATGAAGTATATCTAATCTGTGGATACATTACTTTTCAATACGTAAGTTAGTTAAATATAGCTATTGCAAACTATTTCCTTTTCATCTAATATCTCAATTAACGTAGAAACTTTTTTTTTCAGGATTCTAAAATCAAGTTCCCTCTGCCACACAGAGTTCTGCGTCGCCAGCACAAACCACGTTTCACCACCAAGAGACCAAATACTTTCTTTTGAATAGGAAAATGTGCTGTCAACTCTGTGTTGTAATAAACATCTTATTTGAACCTTTGACCCCTTGTTGTCTTATGGAAACAGTGTCTTGGATACCTAGGAGTCTCGGCAGCCTACTATTTTCAGCTGTGATTGCCTTGAAACAGGTAAATGTTTCAGGTGCTGACTTAAATTACCAAAATAACCCATCAGTAAACCAAAATGTTAACTGGATTTCCAGGTCAGAGTAAGTCTGTTGTTGAGCAGCTATAAAATCCTACATTCATTTTGTCCCTTAAGCATGCTAAGTAAATACAGTTGAATTCAGGAACAAGGCATCTTTCTGTGCATGCAGAACTTAAACTTGCCAGCTGTAGGAATGAAGACCTTATAACTTAAGTTAAGCTACTTCAAGCTTTAAGCATTTAAAGCTAAAACCTTAGTTCTAACTTGAATCCTTCCAAGGATGTTCCACATCATTCTGAATTAATTCATGTACACATATAGAGGTACCGGCACCTAGAAATGAAAACTTACCTTTGATATTACACCAAGTGTTCTGATGAAAATAAACTTTTATATCCAAACCCAAATACATTTTTTATATCCCAAACCCTACTCTGTTTACAATATAATGCCACAGTAAAAAAAAAATATGTTGCTGATACTGTATAGTTAAGGCTTACTAAGGCTGCTTCACACCTGAAGCCATTTTTTGCATTGGGTGCCTGTTACGGAGTTTTAAGTGTTTCCTGGATGAGGTAGCAGCTAGCTAGTATGGGTCTTGCCCGGAGTGAGAGCTGGTGCTGTGTTCTGTCTGGGTGTCAGCTTAAAAACTAATGCAGGCGCAAGTAGAGCGCAGGGAAAAAGTGTCCAGAGAGAAAACGGGGAGTGTTTTTGTTTCAGAGTAGCTGGAGAGCTGTTGATTCCAAGTGAGGGAGAGCCTTGCTCACAGTAAGGGGGGGGTGGCCGTTCCAGCAAATGCTGCCACTGCAGCCCCTTTCTGTGGCCCTGTGGCTCAGCTTTGCACTCCTCTGTGTTGCCTCAGTTCAGGGAGCTCACCCATCCAACATGCAATCTGAAAAAAGGGGATTAATTTGGGTAATTTGTGATATCCCAGCCATGAGGGAGGGTGTACTATAAACACAGAATGTTCAGACAAGCTGGAGGGTCCTGTAGGAGTCCCACCAGCGAAAGGGTGGGAATAAGGCCACCTTCAAGACCTTGTATTTACACACTTTTAGTTTGGAAGAACAATTCAGCATGAAAATGGGCTTTATTTTTACTTTCATAAAAACCAATGTGGTGGGGTGGAGGAGAGCTCGTTACAGGAACCAGGGCTGGTGGCCAGCTGTCAATTCCCACTCAGACAAGGGAGAAAGATGACTTAGATTTGTAAATCCCCAATGGAGTGGACAATGGTGAGACAAGTCTTGAAGTCCATGCACAAACATTTATTAATATTCTGCAATGTACTAATTGGATATACAATAATTGGCTAAATATATAACGAATTATAGCAAGTGATACAGTATGCCTTGCGTTAGTGGGAAAAGGGGGAAAAGAAGGGAGATAGAGAATAGGGAAATACACATCACCGGTCCGGGGTTCTGCATTGGTCCTGTCAGAGTTCATCAGGAATTCCTTCATCTTCTTCACTTTCTGTTGCTTGCTTGCTTTTCCCCTGCCTGCCTCGCTCCCCCTTAATTTACACACACTTCCTTTGGGTCCGACCCCCAGGCCGACCCGCAGACCTACCTATTACACCTATGGGGATGAGTAAGCTGCTTAAACCAAGGGTGCCGACTTCAGTGTTCATTTTGTGGATGATGAAGCAAAGGCCGTTCACTGGACAGACGGCCCCGAAAACTGCACAAGGTGCACCAGAGCAGAGCCGTCCTGCCTGCCCAGGACCCCCCGGACCCGGCTGCACCCTGGGCTGCCCAGGTGGCCTCCTCACCTCCAGCCTCCACGTCACCCACCCCGTGACCACAGTTCTGTTACTGGCGGGTGTCTGAGGCATGCCACGGCTCGGAGCAACTCCACTCCCCACCATCTCTTATCTCTCTCTTTTTTTTCTTTTTTCCCACTCCGGCTGTTTTTCTCAGACCCTGCTTGACGGTCGTTGCGGGGCTGCCCGACCCACGGGCAGGCCATCGAATACCGGCCTCGGACTCACCCACCTCCCCGGCTGTGGGGCCTCGGAGCTTCCCGCTCCGAGCCGGCCGCTGGACCATCCCACGCCTCGGGGGGGCTGCTCGGCTGAAACCCCCGCGTGGCGTGGGCCGAGCCGCTCCCTCCCACAGCACCCGCCCCGCCGTTACACCCCGCCCCACCCACGTGACCCGGAACAAACTCCTCCCCCTCTCCCCCCGCCTCGCTCGTCACGTGGCAAGGGCGGGCTCGCGCAGAGGGGCGGTGACAGCTCCTTCCCCCGCGCCGGACCCGGAAGTGGCGGCGGGCGGGCGGGATGGGGGAGTCGATCCCGCTGGGCGCGCCGGTGCCGGTGGAGCAGGCCGTGCTGGAGACTTTCTTCTCCCACCTGGGCATCTTCTCCTACGACAAGGCCAAGGACAATGTGGAGAAGGAGCGGGAGGCCAACAAGAGCGCGGGGGCCAGCTGGCTGGCCCTGCTGGCCGGGCTGGCTCACCTGGCCGCCGCCGAGAAGGCCTACCACAGCATGACCTTCCTGGGCCAGAAGCTAGGTACCGCCGCGCCGCCCTCCGCGCCCCTCTCCACTCCCCGGGGACCCCTGGCTGCGCCCGGGCTGCCCCTCGCTCACCACGCCTCGGGTGGCTGCTGGGGGTGGGGGGGGGCGCGCCCGTGGCCGTGGGCCCGCTCACGGCCTGCCCCGGGGTGAGCTCCGCGGATGGGGAACGGGCAGCTGTGAGGAAAACTTGGCGGCCGGTAGTCGCACAGCGCCTGCAGGTCCCGGCCTCGGCGAGGTGCAGGTCTGAAACACGAGTGCGGGGTCCACGAGTGTCCGTGGGCCTAGTGTGAAATCGGCTGTGCCGTTTTGGGCTTCCCCTGAAGAATAAGGGAGAGGACAGGTGGCACAGGGGCTGGGCGAATCGGCACGTCCCTCTGTGGGCTGGTAGGCTGCCTACCTGCGGTTCCCAAGGTTTAACCAGAGGTGTTTCTGTGCTGGGATGCTCTGGCTGAGCTTCTGGCAAAGGTGAGCTCAGTGGGGTGACCAAAGGGTTAAAGCTGCTTCGTGTCACAGTTCCAGGGCCTCATACTAGAGCTGCATACCTGTAACTACTTGGGGCTGGAGATAGCCTCCCAAAAATTGTTATTCGTGTAGATTCTGCAGGATCTCAGGAAGTTTTGGCCGCAGTCTTGGCTGCTTCTCGTTCTCTCAGTATGAGAATAGAAAAATCCCAAGCTGGCCCAGGACGAGCTGTCATCATGCTGCCCTCTGGGCAAAGCTGCTTATTTTCTCTTTGAACTGCGGACTGGCATGGAAAATGGATCAAGGGGTATGAGTCTGATGTGTAATGCTGTAAAGCATCAAGAAAACTCTGCTTTGATGTTTAAGTGGTGACTTGGAACTATTTTATAAGAAGTTCTCTACAGACAAAATTCTGTCTATAAGGCTGACTTTTTAAGAAGTGAATTTGGTGCTTATAGAAAGGATAAAATTGACAACAGAAGGGAGAGAGTTTTGTTTCTTTATATAATTCATGAACAACAGCAATAGATGATTCTTCATCCTGCCCATGACCAGAGGGCAGCTTTTGGTTTAGGAAGGTAGCTCTTTCATCATGATAACCAGTTCTCTGCCTTTCTGCTTCAAATTGCTAAGGTCGCTCTTGAACATTATCGGTGTAAAATGGATGTGAAAAGGACTATCCTCCACCATTACAAAATCTATAAGCAGTTTCAAAGTGGAACCTAAATTTGGAATATCTTTAAAAGTTCCACAGATTCAGTCCCTATGATCCTTGCTCTGCTGCAGCTGTTGAGTACCACAGTGGCACGTAGGTCATGTGTAAATAGAAAATATGAAATAAGGTTAGTACTTTTGTACAGTCTTTTGGTAGCATCAAAATTAAGTATCTTTTACTTTGAGTATTTTTGTCTTTTTTCCTTTTTTAAATTCTTCACAGTACTGAGCAGGTAGAGGGAAGCAGAGACTTCTTTTGGATTTTTTTTTCCTCTCAGTTTTAGTTATGGATTAACCAGCACTGTGGTATCATTGAGATAAACTGATTGTTTTCCCCTTTGGATTCTGGCTTATATTAAGATTGTGTAGGGACTGGAAACATTCGGTTTGTACATGCAGATGTCCCATGGTTCCCATTTAAAGGTTGCTTTTCAAATTTGAGTATTTCACGATTGAAGAGGTATTGTTAGGGGAATTCTCTTTAAAAGATCTAGAGTTATTAGTAGAAGTGGAGTCTATTAAAATTTCTTGATGTCTTGATTCTTCTGACTTCTGGAAATACTGTTACCCATGGGTCATGTATCATAGCAAATTTAACTGAACCCTTGTTTTCTGAAAGGTTGTGCCATAACCGATGCAGATGTGAGGGAGTTGAAAGTTTTGCAGGAGTCATTGGCTGCTGAGATATGAACTGGGACAAGTGTAATTTGCATGAAATTACATAGAGTGCTTCTGAGTATATGCTAGGTGTAATTTAGTTACTTGGAAAATAATACACTGAAATGTGTTTCTTGATTACAAAAAAATTTCTGTGATCAAACAACACTTAGGAGCACCTAGGGAAAGACAAGTGTGGCTATAAACAATTTTCCAGTATTGCTGTCTATCTTTGCTGTCCCTGGATTTTGGTAATACCTCCATATTTATCTGAACAGGTGGTCAGTCATTCTTCAGCCGAAAGGACTCCATCCGAACCATCTACACATCTCTGCATAATGAGCTGAAGAAGGTGGTGGCGACGGGTCGCAATGCACTAGGAGGAACAGCTCCTCACTTGGAAGAGCTGCTTTCTCACCTGTCTGAACAGCTCTGTTTTTTTGTTCAGGCTCGGATGGAAATTGCTGACTTCTATGAAAAAATGTACACGCTCAGCACCCAAAAGTTCATTAACTCTGAGGAACTGGTAAACATTTTGGAATCCATCTTAAAGAAATACAGCTCAAGGTCAGTGCTTATTTGCTGGCAGTAAGTACTCAGACATATGATCTGTAATAAATGATGCTGAGGTTCAAAGCAAGCCTAAAGACTTTGCTGTCCTTTGACTTCTGAGCAGCATAGCCCCTAGCATAGATTCATGCATGAAGTGAATGCTGGTCAGCAGCATCAGATGTGTGATGTCTCAAAATATGACTCCTCCTCTGAAGAAGAAAAATAAAAAAGGGAGAGTGTTTCTACTCATCATGTTCTAGGAGCCATCTTTCCTATTCCTTAATTAATAGTCTGCATGTTCATATCCAGCAGAGAAGAGTAATTTTCCTTGTAAAAGATGTAAGAGTTCTTGTGGCTATTCATTGCGAGTGGAGGGGAAACAAGGCTTAATTCCATTTCGACTTCAGTAAAATTGATATGTAAATAAAACAGATTTGTGCAACAATTTTACTTTTAGACTGGATTATATGTCTGCTTAATTCTAAAAGCTACACTGTTGCTATTTGGCCTACCCAGTAGGGTTTTATAGTGTTCTGTTACCATGTTCTGTGAGAGGTACTGGAGACAGTAGAAGGAGCACCTTTGGGTCTTTGCTCCGTGCCATTATTGTTTCTTGAGTTTAAGATCTAATAGAATTACAAGAATCCTAGGATGTTTCTAAACTACTCTGGTGTGGTTATTTCCCATCTAACACATGTAAGCCTTGAAAGTGATGGCAGTTTAAAAAAAGAGAGAATTTTTGAATGCTTGTCAACAAGCTCAAATTCTAGCTCTTTATTTTAAAGCAAAACAATACAGCCATTGTAGGAAATTTGCTTTCAAATGTAGCTGCATTTTTAAAAACCTTTGTTCCTGAAATAGTGTCCAAGACATTTGGGGAGAATATTCTGAGGTCTTATTTTTTTCAGTTACAATTTTTAAAGTGTACACCTAGGAAAAATCAAAATAATTCAGTGCTGCTTTCTGACATTCCCAATGAAAGCACTACAGCCAACTCCCTTATTTTTTTAGGAATAACAGGCAAATTGCTACACAGGTTTGCTCTTTGACAATCAAAACTAGTCTATGTGATCTAACTAGTGATTTTTTTGCAATTCTTGGTTTGTGAACCCTTTCAATATCAGGGCTGTTAGTCCAGTAAAAAAATGATACTTACATATTTTTTCCTTGGTGCGATAAAAATTAAAGAGTAAAGGGAGTTAAATTTTTTTTTTGAATAGTTGATTTATGTTGTACACCAACCATCGCCATCTGTTCTGAACATGTGCTGAGTCAACAGCACTGTTAAAAATCTCAAAACCAAAACTGATACTTTGACGGAGTGACTGGAGATGTGTTATATATGAAGTGTTTTACTACGCTATTTAAATAAATTTCAGTGACACGTCTGAACTTTGAATTTGTTTATTATAAACTCTTTAAATCAGTAAGTATCTCCCTGAGAAAAACACCGATCTTGCTGTTATGTTGATGTGTGCTGGCTGGAAGGTATTTCTGTTTTACAGTCTGTTGACCCTCTCAGGTGAAAGGTCAAATAAACTTGTCCTTACCCAGTCTCTTCCTTCTGACAATACATTCCTCACTTGTGGGTGAGGATGTGTGCCACTATTTCAGCCAACTGTGCTAAGGCCAGACAAGGCATCTGTTCTGTAGATAGCTTCTGGCCTTGCTTTCTTCTCTTTAGATTTAAAAATAGCTGTTCAGATAACGTAGAGCAAATAACTTCTTGCTGGTAAAGGTACAACAGAATTAATTGACTGTCAACAATCAAGTCATATTGTCTGTATCTGAAAAATCATTAACTCTTGAGCAGGTTAAAGCTGTTCTGTTACTTCTTATTGCTGACTTGTACACAGCTGATACTAGACATTTTCCTCTCATGTTTTTCTGTAGAACACAGCTGAAGAAGTAACTTTTCCTGAATTTTTAAAATACTGGTTTGGGTCGGATCTTAACTGAAATAATTAAAACAGCATCAGAAGCAGGATCCTTTAAAAGCCTAGTATAAAATGAAAAAGTAACTAGTAAGCCATTTTGATGTAGTTATTTTTAAGTGTTAAATGTTTTTTATCTAGTCAGCATTTTGTAAATACATGCATGCATATGTGATCAATGGAAGGAAATAAAAAGTTGTAGAAAAATGAAGCTTACTCATAGTCTGCAAAACAAAACTAGCATCCCTTTGCTTTTGAGAATGATTAAAGGGGGAAGAAATAAAATCAATTTTCCAGTGTGTTTTTGAGTTCTTAACACTTTGACTATTGAAATATTGTAAAAACCTGTCTGTTTTAAGTGATGCTGAGTTCAGTCAGATGCTTCTGTGTTATGAAACTTAATTACTGCAGATATACTGAGTACACAACCTGTTAGTTTACTCTGCAACCATATCAAGCTACTCAGCTGTGGCTGAGGTGTGTGTTTTTGGATTAAAGCAGTTTAGCAAATCCTGCTGTGTAGTGAAACATGAAAATAGCTATGAGCCATGAAGCAAAGTAGAAGTGGGACGCTGTATGTAATAATGTTAATCCAGGAGACTTGGCAGTGTAGCATTAGTACGAATTTTTTAATTGCTTTTAAGACAGAAGAATAAACTTCTTCGTCTGACGGCAAGTGTGTGGAAAACACTGTGCTAAGTGTATGTTTGATAGGACTATCTGGAACAAATAATGTTTTATAATGCTTTTTTCCCCCATTCTAATGCATGGCTACAAAACTTTTTGGCTGAATACCAAGACCATTGGAAATATGTAATGTTGACTGTTAGCAAAATATTATTTTTAATTGACTCTTGTTTGTTCAAAGAAATGTAAATATGTTTTGGACTTCCAGACCCACCGAAGTAGCTAGTAATCACTGTATCTCTGCTATGGCAGGTAGATATGATGGTTGATGTACTGTCTACAGAAGGTGGCTGGTCACCCAACCTAGCCTGTTTGCAGAACATGTTGCATCAACTGATTTATGACACTGATAATTTCATTTTCTTCAAACAATTTTGGACTTACATCTTAATAGCAAATCCTTTCAAGACATGTTTTGTGGCTGTCAAAAGAAGAGACACTTAAAAATAGTGATAAAATTGTCAGACAATTTTCAAGAGCCTAGGAATTGATGTTTTGGCAAGAGCTTGATGGAAAGTCAGGAGAGAAGAAAAAAAAAAAAAAAAAAGGGAGAGCGGATGAAACCCCCAAAATCCTCATTCTCTCTTCTGGTCCACAACAAAACTAAGTGTTGTAGTTTTGAACCAAGTTATTTCCAAAATGGATTATACGTATTGTGTCCTGGAAGCTGAGGGGAGTGATGGAGTCACTTTGACTTAAAAGATGAGCTGTTAAAGGTTGGAAGAATTCAATACAAACTTCTTTGTTTTAAAGCGGTAACAAGACCCAGGATATTTTTCGGAAGTGAGGGGTTAAATCTATCTTTACTTAAATGGAAATCTCATCAAGTCTTGTCTTTGAACTGGTGGTTGTTCTGTGTCGGAGACTTCTTTGAGTCCTAAATGCCTGTTAGGGAACACATTTACTAAAAAGGCCACTTTGATGGAGACTTATTCTTTCTAAACTATTTAGCTTCTGTAACTGGAACAGTTTTGCACAGTTTGGATTAAATATGTATTTATTAATGATGTTATAAATGTACAAGTAATTTGAGTATCAAGGGAAGAGAGGTAGTCTGGATCTGTCTGTTTTTCCTTGATGTTCAGAAAAAATGAAGTGAGAAGAGAAAGCTATAGAATGGATCTATAAAATTCCATTTAATTGATATTTGTTCTAACAGTAGGATCGCTCTTGTGAATAAGATGTGCGATGGCACTTCTACCTGGTAGATGTGGTGTTAGGTTTTTGTTTTGATTTGGTTTTAAACATCTGTTAAATTGAGAGCTGATCTTGACCAGAATTTTTAGTGAGAGAAATTGGTTGTTACAGCATCTTCACTGTGATACAATGAAATCCTGCCAAATGTTTTTCCCCTTCATTGCTTCTAGTACCTCAAGGTTTGAAGTTAGAGGCCTGGTTCAATGGTAAATACAGTTACACGTGGTTCTGTTGACTAATTTTCCATCACAATTTTAGTGTGAATCAAAAAAAAAGTCAACTTTGCTTCCTTATAGCTTCCCTGTACAAACACAAGTTTAGAACATAATTCCTTTGATTTAACTTAATGTCTTCTTGCTATTCCAGAACTATCAAGATGAAGGCATTTTAAATTTGTACAAAACCACCCGAATTTAAAGAGAAACGGTGTTATAGTAGTTCATGAATCAAAATAAATAGTGATGGTTCTTGAATTGATCTAATATAACTCCCTTGCTTTGATAGAGAAATGTCTGACAGGTGTTTTGGTCAAATGCAGAGTGCTATATGTTCACTAAAATATTTGCCCTAGTTATGTTAAAAGAACTGTTCTTTAAATTAACAGGATTGTTTTTTGGTTTATACTTTGCTTTGATGTTTGGTCTTCTGTCTGTGAACTGGCAAATACTATCTAGTTATTTCACTGTTGTGTACAGCAGTTCTCATGTCTTGACTAACATTATGTTTTCTAGATTTCATCATCCAATCCTCAGTCCTCTTGAAAGCAGTTTCCAGCTGGAAGTAGATGTGCTTGCACATCTCTTAAAGGCTCAGGCTCAGATCTCAGAGTGGAAGTTCCTTCCATCCCTGGTCAACTTGCACAGTGCTCACACGAAACTACAGACTTGGGGCCAAATTTTTGAGAAACAGCGAGAGACCAAGAAACATCTGTTTGGAGGGCAGTCTCAGAAGGCTGTACAACCTCCACACCTCTTCCTCTGGCTGATGAAGCTCAAAAACATTCTCCTTGCCAAGTTTAGCTTTTACTTTCACGAGGCCCTTAGTCGACAAACAACAGCATCTGAAATGAAAACTTTGACTGCTAAAACAAATCCTGATTACTTTGGGAAAATTTGCAGTTTCATCCGGAAGTATGATGCTGTCAATGTTTCCTTAATTTTTGACAATCGTGGATCAGAGAGTTTTCAGGGACATGGTTATCATCATCCCCATTCTTACAGGGAAGCCCCCAAAGGAGTGGATCAGTACCCTGCAGTTGTGTCTCTGCCCAGTGACAGGCCCGTTATGCACTGGCCCAATGTAATCATGATTATGACTGATAGAACCTCTGACCTCAACACTTTGGAGAAGGTTGTTCACTTCTACGATGACAAAGTCCAAAGCACATACTTTCTGACTCGTCCCGAACCTCACTTTACCATTGTAGTTATTTTTGAGTCCAAGAAGTCAGAGAGGGACTATCATTTTATTTCTTTTCTCAATGAAATTTCACATTCCCTTAAGAACTCCAAAGCTTTTGCGAGCTTGAAGCCTGGATCCAAAGGGTAAAATACAGACTACGTTTACGTTGAAGTTGTCAAGGCAGTATGCCAGCCTTGAGGGAACTGGAGCTTTCAAGGTTTACATACATTCATGATTCTCAGAGTCTAATTAAAAAGGAACCATTATTTTTAATGTTATAAGTTCCTTTTTTTTTTTTTTTTTTTTTTTTTTTTTTAAGCTAACAGACACTGGAAGAAAAGTATTTTTGGGGCAGTACTCAGTGGGACAACTTAATTGTGGGGTGCTAAACAGTAGGATATTATTTTTTTTGTGGTTTTCAGTTTTCAGTATGATTTATTTTTTCAGTCCACCACTTTGTTGCCTGTATCAGAAAGGAATATATGCACTTTATCTTAGTCTGATCATTGACTGTCTTCTACAGAGTTTATTGAAAATGTGGTGAGGATGGAAGATGCTATCTTTTCAGAAAACTGCATTGCCTGACCGGAATGACTTCTGAGAACTAAACAGTGATACAAGGGAATACTAAAAAAGGCGAACTTTCAAAGATACGTTTTAAATAAAAATACAAGAATCACAAAAGGCACTATTGTTAATTGTAACTTAGTTTTCAAAGGGTTTTAAATTATATTTGAGGTCTCTGATGCTCTCTGTTATGCACCAGTCTCTCTTCTGAACACCCTGTGTCACAAAGCTTTGTCATTGCTCCAGAACACAGGCTGGGGCAGGAAAAGCTGTATCATTGGCTGGAAGTCCAGTATTCACTGGAGTGTTGTAACATTGTGTGTCCAGTACCAGGCTTGGCTCAGATTAACTGAAGGAAATACACTGAGGTTGAGCAGGTATTCTAGAAGCAGCAGCTCCATGGAAAAAGCAGCAAAGCTCTCTTCAAATTGTGATTTTGTCTGGCTGACAACAACAACAAAAATAATTTTACAATTAAGCCAAATCACTTTTGGATTTAAATATATAGCCTATGCAGTATGTTTACCTCATTCTAAAATGTCTCTTTCACCACTTCTAGGCTGCAGGTTTGGAAAAAGTATGTTTTCTGTTGTTACCCTGTAAGTGCTTTATTTTGGAAATCAGTATTTCCAAATACAATAAAAGGGTCAGTTTGGCTGTACCTGTAGCCTTATATTGCATGATTCTTCTGACTGTTAGCTATGCAGTTGTGCAAGCACTTTCATGGGAACTCAGGAGGACTGATCTGGATCTGCTGTATGATACATGTAAGTGTGGTAAAGGTCCTTAGTTGACACTGTGTAAGGCATAACATAATCAGGTTTGTTTTAAAATGGAGTTGAAGTCAGAAAGTTGCTTTCTGTTAATACTGAAATATAAAAGATACTATTGCAGACATGGCTTTTACCAATTCTCTTTTTCCCACAGAAGGGTATATGGTAACTTGTCTTGCTTTTTGCTGCAAGTACTGATTTCTTTACAATCACATAAGCATGTTCTGTTCTCAAAATGTAAACTCTGACTTTCCACTTTGTGCCAAATAGAACTTCCCGTGCTTTGCTATGATTGTATGTTAGTCTGTCGTGAATACCTCTGCTACTGCCTTTCACCTAAAGTCTTAGTCTGACTGTAGTATCACTCTCGAAAGTTTAGGAGTCTGCTCTTTGCCATTGGAAAATAACAGGAGTTGCAAATGTACCTGCAACTGGAGGGCATCTGGTTGTAACAGCGTTACACTTTGCAGCTTGAATTGCCGTTTTAGTAGGACAAAGTTGCAAATGACAGTATTGAGAGAGCTTGTGTGCTTCCCTGGTGGGACAGTGACCTTGTAATAACATTGTATTATTCACTTCCTCAGCCTGAGTAACATAAAAGAGACTGTTGCCAGAACTGATTCTCAGTCTTCAGCAGTGTAATAAAGTGTTGTACAAATTTTGTCTGTCTCTACAGTATTTCCCTGTCATACTAGCTACCTGTGGGAAAGGGGAGAGGAGATGGGGGAACAAGACTGCCTGTGGTACAGACTCCTCCCTGCTCATTTCTGAGTTGCAGGGGATATGTTGGAAGAGGTGAAAGAAATCTGCTGCCCTTGGGAGCAAACCAGCAACTTTTACCAGTTGCTGAAATGGCTGGAGGCTGCTCCCAGTGGTTTTTATGAGGAGAGGAAAAGGAGGCGACTGTTCAGCAGACCTGGTGGTTTGCTTCATGCTCCTGCTGTTTTTTGGTGAGTGGTGTCTTTGGGAACAGGGAAGGGATGCTAGGTGGTGTTTCTGTGCAGGATGAGATGAGACTTGCTTTGACTCTTATCAGTGCTGGGGTGGTTTGCTGCAGTTTTCTTTGGAGGATCTTGGGAAAGTGGCCAGAGGAGCCATCCGGTTCTTGGGGAAGACTATCTGAATATTTAAGATGATGAAGAACCAAAGGGAGGCAGAACCATTGCTCTCACCATGGGAGAGGTGTGCAGACAAACTGGGAGAGAATTGGGTGCTGGAGAGAGACACTTTTGTGGAGCTGTCTCTGGGTTTTGGAGTCCTATCGCTGAAGCTCTCCTTGTAAGATCTTGGCCTTAGTACAAGGTGGGGAGCAGAAAATCCAGGCCATAGGAAGTGGCTTGGATGAAAAGGGGTGAAGCTGAGGGGAGGTTACACTAGAATCAGTATAAAATAGTTTTGCAAGGTGTGCTGTGACCAAAAACTAAATGTGTCTGGGGTGTGAGTATGTGTGATGAATGAATATTTATAGATCTGTTAGCCCCATGCAGACTTAGGGCACAGTTTCTCACTGGTTGCTTTGACAAATTTATGTTTTAAATGATGAATGAGGTAACAGGGAGACTGAGTTATCTACAATGTAAAATTGGCTAAGCCAGTAATGAAAACCTGCATATTTAAGGGGGAGGAACATATATGTGGAATAAGTAAAGGGTACCAGAAACTCAGTAATTGGAAAAAAATATATTTATTACTAACTTCAGTAACAGAAAGATTGATCAGTCTCTTTACAGAATGAGAGAACAAATGCACTTTTGCTGAGCTGGGTGATATCCCGTCTGCCAGCTCTCCACCAAGTTAGCTAAGCAAGATTGAATGTACTAATATACTTTAAAAGTCTTGTATAAATGACTGCTTTAAATGCAAGATGTAAATATGTTTATGATAACATAATGAAAGCCAATGCTTCCAGACATATTTAAAAGTTTTTAAAACAGGTACCAAGATTTTATATTCTCGATGCCACTCAGATTGCTTAGCATAGCAATGCGGAAGCTTATCTTGTAGCAAATTTCATATACCTTGTCACTCACTTGAGTCCATGAGGATTTAGACAGAACATTTAATTTAGTTTCCTTTGCCTGGAATGTGAATTTAACAGCAAATGTATTCTCAGATCTGTTACATATTTTATATTTACGTCTTGTAAGCTATTTTTTACATGTGGTGTTCGGGCTTTTTTCTGAATAAAACGTCTTTCCTTTTCTCCTCCCTTTTGCATGAAAACGATGCAGGGAATGGAAACTATAAATACGTTTTGTATTGTGCTGCAAAGGACTGCAATATATGTGTAATGCACATAATATTCAGGTTTTAATGATTGTAAAGTAACATAAATTCCTGGTATCTGTTTGAATACTAACACTCAGTGTTTATCTAATTCACTTAAAAAAAGGTCTCTGTTATAAGTGGAAATAATCTTATGGCACTCTCCCAGTTAATTATTGCTCTGGTCCACTCTTCTTCACCTAGGAGCCTTTTGAGACACTTGTGATCATTCTGGTGGTTGCTCTTTGTTTTATATCAGCTATCTGAGGCTTCCTTGCATATGTGTCTGTGACGCCTGCTACTGCAGGTCAGCCTGCAGCCTTTTACTTCACTGGGTCCCAATCTTCTCCTAACCAAGTTTTGCTTAAGAAAATAAAAAATGTGCTATATTTCATCCCTCAAGTCCTGTTTTTTTGTCCCAATAACTGTAACCCCTCAGCTCGCAGTAAGAAGTGTCTCGCACAGCACGGCTGGTCCTGGTCTTGTGGTTAGCTCTGTGATTGCTTCCAGAAGTGCTGGCACCAAGCTAACTAGCTTGGCTGAAACTTCAGTGTTTCTGCCCTGTTTTCTCCAGAAGTCCCCTTTTCAGAGTTCCAGAGATGTCAGTCAGCCCTGCCCGGGTGGCTGCAGCCGAGGCCAAGCACTGCTTATTTGCTCGAGCTCTGCCTGAGCCTCGAGCAGTAGGGCAGCGTCCTGGTCCTGCCCGTTGGGGACTACTGCTTAGCAGGGATGGCCCTTAGGCTGCAACTGTGCAAAGACAGGAACTGTTTATGGGAAAAGCAGGAGAGGCTCTGGAAACAAGTGCTGACAAAGGACAGCAATAGCGTAATGCTTCGCCGAGTGGGCACACAAAATAAAGAAGTCAAATGCAAGATGGGACTTTGACTTCCTTTACCTGGTAGTGAAGGACTGATTTAAAGATAAAGTCTCCTTTGGAGAGGGTAAAGGTAACAGATCATTTTCCTCCAGGAACTGCCTCTTTTCTTTGCGTGCTTTCAACACACTGCCTGACTTATTTTTGTAATTGCTATGGAGCTTTTCTAGGAGAATTTGCTCCCAGGAGAGTTTGAGTTCAGTTCCCTCCTAACTTTCAACCTGGTGTTGCAGCTACTTGGTTTGTGATAGAATAACAGAGCTCTCTGGGACCTGACCGTGCCCTGTCTGTACATGGCAGCAGTAAGAATAGCAAAGTGCAGAAGGCACATTTCTGCAAGATGGGCTGGGGCAGATGACAGCTCTGGGAAGGACACGCAGGGGGAGAACGGGCGCAGAAGGACTGTGATGCAGATAGACTGTGAGCAGAAGGTTTTTGCTGGCCCCTCTGTGTTGCTGGCCTAATTTTGGAGGAATCTAAATTTTGTATCTTGCAAAAGCTGTGCTAGACCCCACCTCTAGTTGCAGCTACTGGGTTTATGTGGCTACTGTAAAATAACTACACTATTTCCAGGATGACAGCATTCAGTCTTTAGGTACTAACAATGTTGGCAAAGCAGCTGGTTTTGGACAGATGATTAAGACAGGCTTCGCTGTATCCCATGATTAACTGGGGTATGCTACCATGATGTTACAGGCTAACATCTGAAGCTTTAGAGCAGTGCAACACTGTGCTTTATTTGTGCAGCTTATTGATCAGAAAAAATAGTTAGTGGCACCAAATTTTGGTTCTGTGGTGTATACATAATTTACTACAAAAGAACTGAGAAGTTTTTTAGTGTGTGCACATCAAATTCATCAGGTTAGAGCCATAAAAGAGCCAGCATCGCCATGCTGAGTTGATACAATCCTGGACTGGGGTCAACAACCTTGAGCCAAGACCCTTAAGTTTCTGTGGGGAGAATGATGTCCTCATTCATACCGGTCAGAGGCAGAATAAGGAGGGCCAGTGGGAGATGCTAAAGGAGACGAGGGGCACCTGTGTCAAACTGAATTCCCAGTCTTTGATTTTGTCTTGGAATTAGTCCTCTCTGGCAACACAGGCAGGGGAAACATTGTCACCCACCGTGTGCAGTAGCCTGATGGTCTTTTAAGCATTTTCTTAGTGAGATGTCAGACGCAGGTTCAATGTCGTCTCTGACCAGGGGAATCAAAGTCAACGTTTCTCTTCTCCCTTCTCTGCATGTTTGTGCAGATGTTTGGCAGACCCTCCAGGTATTTCCCTGCTCTCTCAGGTGAGAGCCAGGTTTCCTCTCCCTGGGTCTGGGCCTGGGCCTTCAAAGTTTTGCTGGAGGGTGCCACAGCCTCAGCTGCCTGTCAAGGGTTTACATTAAACACCAGGATATTTATAAGGCCATTCTGTTGTCAAACAGGAGATTAAACAGCCTGAAGAGGAGAAACTCACCTGTTTTCTGGGTGGGTGCAGCCGTCACTGGGCTGCTGTGACTGCGTGGACAGTGGACCATAGTGAAAGGGCCGTGGCCTTCCACAGGATCCGTGGTGGCTGCTGCAGCCTGGGGTTACGTGTCCCGCTGCTGCACTCGCCGGGTCTGGTTCTTTGGGGGCTGGGAGTGATGCTTCTCCACGGACTGCCTGGGACTGTGGGAGACTCCGGGTCACCTGAAGGTAAGGCTCTAGGAACGTATGTGACTTGGAGTGAAAACTTAGGTTATGAGACCATGCTTTTCGTCTGTGGGCTCAACGTTACGCTTGTAGTGGGAGAGCTGAGGCTGCTTTTGTCCCCAGCAGTACAGTTGGCCTGTGTCCCCACCCTGAGAGATGCCGGCACTTGTCAGAGGGATGTGGTGAGGGGTTGGGAGCACTAACAGGTTTAGCCTTCTGCTTTTAATCTGGTGCTGAAAATCTGTCCAAACTATTTTTAGAAGTTGGCCGATTAAGTTTCATTCTAGGTGTGGAAGCCTTTTTGTAGAGCTTACCTCTGAGTAAAGTGCCTGGAGCTCTGCTGAAGGCAAGATGTGTAAGCTGAGTAAAAGCTATCTCCCCCTTCTCTTCATGCATCCTTGTCCAGAGAGAGCAAGAGTAAACTACTTTCAGTGATCGCTGGGTAATAGGTTTTGGGGAAAAGCCTGTTTCTCATTTTTTGTTACGGAAGCGGGGAATTAGTGTGATGAATCAAGTCCTGACCCCAACCTCCTAAGTGATTTACCTACACCGTTTTTGATGGCAAATTCAATACGCTTACATGTAGTTGATCAGCCATTTTCATGCTGAAATTATACTCTGCATGCAGACTAGCTTTGCTTGGAGAACTCAAATTTCATTCACTGAATTTTCTCAACACAGCAGTTGCCTCAAGCTGGCTGAACTGCTTAACTGTACCTGGCAGTGAGAAAAGTGGGAGGTAAATTTCTGAAGTTGCATGTTACTTGCTCTCTATTAGGTATAAAAATAGATGGGTCTGAATCTGGGATCAGCCTAGTGGGATTTGTGGCACTATCTGATT